AAAAAAAATTTAAAAAAGGTATTAATATTTTTTCAAAAAAGGGGTTTTTAAGGGGGGGGACCAAAAAATTTTTTTTGCGCGCTTACGCGCGCAAATTGTGCCCCCCCCCTAAACAAAAGCCCTCGTACGCCCCTGAGTGACATTTGTTCAACCCTTTTCATTTTGATTCATTTTGATAAATTTTTACCAAAAATTGCTAAAATAAATTTGTAAAATTCAAAGGAATTTCTAAAATAAGGCAATTGCATAATATTAACAGAGACTAAATCTTACTTGTTAATGCATAATGGTTTATTGCAATCTATGAACATTTTAGCCAGATAATTGGTGTGTTTTCTATAATTTAGTAGTACTGTAGATATCTCTGATATCCTACAGGGGTATCACCTAGTATAACAAAGCAAAAATGTGAAAACGATATTATAATTTTTTAGAAAATTGACATTTTTTAAATAAGATTGATTTAAATTTGATTTGATCTGTCGTTGTCCCGTCAAAAAATGGTATTACAACTGAAAAATATTATCCGTATTATCACTCTAATAAAACTGAAAAATATTATACGTATTATCACGCTAATAAAACTGAAAATATTATCCGTATTTTCACGCTAATTAAACATAAAATATTATCCGTATTGTCACTCTAATAAAACGGAAAATGTTATCCGTATTATCACGCGAATAAAACGGAAAATATTATCCGTATTATCAAGCTAATAAAACGGAAAATATTATCCGTATTATCAAGCTAATAAAACGGAAAATATTATCCGTATTATCACGCTAATAAAACGGAAAATATTATCCGTATTACCACGCAAAAAACCGGAATCTATTATCCGTATTATCAAGCTAATAAAACGGAAAATATTATCCGTATTATCACGCTAACAAAACAGAAAATAACGACAATTTAACTTATTTAGCCCGCGATTGTATTTGTTAAAAAACAGGTTTCAAAACAGGGATGACATAAGATATTTTTACAAGAAAAATATAACTTTACTTTCATGAAAGTATAAGGAGAAAAAAGCTTTAAAAAAAAAATATTTGTGAAAAGTTATCTTCCCTGATTTGTAAATAATTTGTGTGAAAGATTTTATTTGATTGCTAATTAGTAGGCGGATACTCTATATTGTTGCATCTGCTTGGGATGGGGAGATGGGGTATTAATTAGGTTTGTAATAGGAAGGTCTAAATCTGTTATATTTGTTTGTTTGTCTGTGGACTTATTTATCAGTTTGTTTAAAACAACAGGGAATACCGAAACATACAATAAAAATAATTAAGAAATTAAAGTTGCAGAAATAATGTATGATTAAAAAGAAAAATATTGTAACATTTGAGTTTTTTTGTTGTCCTTTATACAACTTTTGTTTGTTTATTTATGAAAGTGTATTGCAGTGTTTATAAATAAAAAGAATACACAAGCAATTTATTGTGCATGTAATGTGTATTCGTGGTGTTCAGTATATTATAATATTAGTTCTCCTCCTTCCATCCTCAACATTTCATTTTGTACACTATAATTAGCCATTCGGTTTAATCTTTAAAAATTTCTTTGGCTACAGCGCTCGGCCCCCAAGCCGATTTACGCAAATCACTCGGCCAGATTTTTGGCCCCGGTGCTCAGCCAAGAAACTATCTTAACCTAACCAAACCAAACTTATTTAAAATTACATTTTGTCAAAAACCCAGGAATTGTAGACGTTGACATGATTTTAATGGAATGCTATTTAGAAAGAATGCAATTCATTGAATATCTTTCAGTGGAAACGAATGCAATTAAACATCGTCTAGATTAATCATGGCTAAATATAATAATTTTATTAAATGAGTTAAGGGTTTATTACACACAACTTGGTAAAACAAGCGGACATTTTACATACAGAGAAATATCATTTCTAATCAAAATATTCTTTCAAATATTGTGATTTGAAAATCAAATGTAGAGGGCCGGTGTCCCACGAAACATGGAAGTTTGTGAATAGTTTAAAATGTCTTCTTCTATAATTACTTAAGTTTTCTGATATTTAAGAGAATGATAACAAATATTGTATGCTAATTATATTATTGTAAAATTGATTTCAAAGTAAAATTTATTAAAGAAAAGATGTTTTTAACGAAATGACATAGTATCCAATAAAATATATATGGAAGAAGACATTCAAACTATTCAACAACTGTCATGTTTCTTGGGACACCCTGTATTTAAATTAAGAATTAAAAAATATGAAGTTAAGATTTGCGGTCCATTTTATTGTAGTTTTGGGACCATTATAACAAATTTGAAAATGCTTTTAATCATAAGCTCTTTATTAGTGATGAGGTTTATGTCGATTAAATCATTTAAATTAATAATATATTTTTTAAATATTTTTTTAAATAACCAATGGATTCTTTCTTTTGTACTGAAGCTGTGGAATAGAAAGACGACTGTTGGACTCAAGTTATGATTTTAAATAATCAAATGATAATTAATAACAGCAATTGATCAGTGCAGTATACACAGGCCCATTTTACTTAATAAATTGATTTTTAAGCTTTTAGCTTTATAAAAAAGCAGTTTATAATATACTTATTTAATGAATTATGTACTGAGGTACAAAATGATTCGTTTGAATTAGTTTCACAGAATTGATTAAAATTGATAAAAAATTCTGAAAATTCTAAATTTAAATGAAAGCAAATTAGATTTGCTTCCAGATTAAACCAATGCATATAAAACATATAAAAATCAAATTAATTTCTTTAATCAAATAAACAATAGATGATAAATTCGAATCAAAGAAATTAAATGTATCATCTTAAAAGTTGAATATTAACCAAACCAAATAATTGAATAATTGAAAAACTATACAAGGATCCAATTGGAAAAGTGACAGTGATAATACATATAATTAATATAGTTAGAACTTGATTAACCCTTTAATAATTAGACTCTACTTACATATATCAGGCATTTTCATCTTATAACGTACAATTTCTAATTTCAGTGCAGTACGTTACAATGTAATGTTTCAAAACTGTACCCGATTTCTAATCGCTATTTAACGATGTGCATTAGTTTTACATATCACTACTTTTTTATATTTCTTATGTTGTATAAATATTTCACAATCTCACTGTAAAAACTGTTTATAAAGAGAACATGGTTTCAGAAGGGACTAAACTTTAAGACTGAGTAAGGAATTACTTAACTTATCCCCTATTTGAGCTGAATCCCATCCATGCTTACTTTGGGCTCAAAACTATAATCGGATCCCAAATCGGATAATCTGTTAAACAATTAAACATGCGTGTCAATTCCGTCACCTGACTGTACAAAATTCAAGCACTCAAAAAGTACAAAAATCTAAAATAAGAAATGAGAGGAAATTATAAAAATAAATAATACTGCACCTTAAGCCGTCTAAAATCTGGTAAAGCCCACAAGTGTAAAGCTGTAGATAGATAAAACAACGCTTAAGCTTGTTACCTAGAAGCTTAGAACTTCTCAAAAGGTATTAAATGTGAGTGATCAATTCATTCCCGTTGTGTACGGGGCGGGTTGAGCCAGGGCTTGGGATGCGCTGGGTGGCGCGCTCCGTCCGCCTCCGGAACTCAATCAACCAATAGAAATCCGGGAAACACTGGAGATATACACTCATGTCGGGACGGAAATCCACGAAGCCATACCACGGCGCGGAAGCGGAGAGTGTATATAGACCGGTTTGGGGATTGTTATTAGGGGAATCCGCTGTGAGGCTAAACTAAGCCCCACCTGCCCTACAGGGTTTCTTTTGCATAGAAGAAAAAACGTCATCCTAAAAATACACATTTTAAGAAGTTGTCATGGTAAAAATGTTTTTGTTGAAACAAAAGTTGAAAGCCTGTTTTATGCTATTATTACTCGTGCATTTAAAATAAGTTTCTGTAATCTAAATCCCCCTTTTTAAAAGTGTTTCCTGCCTAATCCGAATTTCTCTCTATATGACTTAACTCATGCAAATGCAAAAACTCCCTAATTCAGCCTAATCTGCAAAACTGCAACTCTCTCTCTCTCTCTCTATCTCCTGCTTAGAATGTGGAAGAGTCTGCCACTAATCTCCATAATCTTTTAATTTGAAATAATCGTTTTATTCAACACTTTGCATCGGTATTTGATTGCATTAATATAAGGTTTTCCGTTAATTTAAGTAGATTAGAACGGATTCGTGGATTAGATTAGATTAAATAACATTAGCACCTGTTAAAACCGGTTTTAAACTATTTGTCATTGTTTTAGATATTGTTTTAAATCAAACAGATTACCGTGTAACTTTTAATAATTCTTTGAATTATTTCTATAAGTAAACAAGTAAACAAGTAAACAAGTAAACAAGTAAACAAGTAAACAAGTAAACAAGTAAACAAGTAAATATTTTTCGCGAAAATTAAATAATCGAAAAAATGCAAAAACGATGCGAAATTTTGCGAAAATACGTTTCGCAAAACTGTTCGAAACTGTTCGCGAAAATCCTTATAGTTGTAGCTGCAACAATTTATTGCGCCAAAAAACTTGTGGAATTCTCTGCTCTGAGAGCTCAGCATTTAGAAGTTTTATTATATCATAATTTCAGTTCCAAAACTAACACTAGGCCCATTTCTAACACTGAGTGTTAGAAATGGGCCAAAATTGCAAGGTTTTCTTTTTCAAACGTGAATAACATTGAATCCAAGCCGAGTTAAACAAACTAATACATTTGTAGGAAATAGCTAAAACTATTTATTAAAACAAGAAATGTCAACTTTAAATTAATAATAAGGTGTGAGAATTAGTTTTTTATGATTCTTGTTTTCATTTTTCGATCACATCCCTATTTTGAAGCAATTACCACATTTTGGAGCTCTCGTGACCTCGTCGCGTTTTTGAAACATATCCAGAGCTGGAAACTTTAGAATGGTGGATATCAGGATTAATGCTTGATCCACTCTTTTTCTTAATCTCCAGATTAAATATTACTTATTGTCCTCATGAATTTAATCTCCAGATTAATTAACAGATCGGGATTAAGGATATCGCATTCTAAAGTTTTCAGCTCTGATTTTGAGACAATTACTCGAATTCATATCAATGTCAATTTTCAAGCATTTACGCACTTACGTCACAAAACAAGATTTTTGTGATAAGGTAAAATATAAACAAAATAGAAAATAAAAACATATTGTTCTTTTGTCATTAAAAAAACATTAAGGCATTGAGAAATAAAAATATTAATTTTATTTTATTCTTGAAATGTAGATTTATCTAGAAATGCGGGAAATTAATTGTTTAAAATACAGCAAAACTATTATTTTGTAAGTTATGAAAATAAGTTTTATTTTTAATTGTGGATTACTAGCCTTAGAGGGCGCTTCGCGCCCATCTTCTAAATTGATTGTGAACATGTTCTCCTTGTGTACATCGTAAAACAAAACAAAAATAATTCGAGGATTTTCACAAAAAAGTTTGATGGAGACAAATATTTGAAATTTTGATCATTCATAAACCTTCCCTGGGGTCCCGAGATGTCCCACAAAAAATTTGGGCCCGATCGGTTCAGCCGTTTTGACGTTTATTGGATACAAACAGGCAAACAAACAAACAAACAGACAGACAAGCCAAATTTATATATAGATGCTCTATAACGGGAAAGTGGGGGTTGTCTCGAAAACGCGACATGCAATGATTTAAATTCAGGATATGTTCAAAAATGGAAAACCTGACATTGTCTTGAAAACGGTCAAGGGTTTTGATATAAAAAGAACTCCTTTTACATTTTTTATTCAAGAAAATAGTTTAAAATTCGGAATTGGTGTCCTTGTGATGATTTATAAAATTTTAGTTATAGTTTTTACTATCAACTTTTACTTTAAATATGGGCCGAGATGCTAAAACCCAAGTTCAATTTGTGTTAGTTTTCGCAAAAATTTCGCATTTTTACCCATCGACAATTTCGCATTTTTTTCGCAATTTTTTTTCTTCAAAATTTCCATACTCATTCAAGCCCACCTCCAATATTTCCCTCCCTATCCCAGCCCACCTCTAATATTTACCTCCCTATCCCAGCCCACCTCCAATATTTCCCTCCCTATCCCAGCTCACCTCCAATATTTCCCTCCCTATCCCAGCCCACCTCCAATGTTTCCATCCCTATCCCAGCCCACCTCAAATATTTCCCTCCCTATCCCAGCCCACCTCCAATATTTACCGCCAAATCCTAGCCCACCTCCAATATTTCCCTCCCTATCCCAGCCCACCTCCAATATTTCCATCCTTATCCAAGCCCACCTCCAATATTTCCCTCCATATCCCAGCCCAACTCCAATATTTACCTCCCTATCCTAGCCCACCTCCAATATTTACATCCCTATCATAGCCCACCTCCAATATTTACCTCCCCATCCTAGCCCACCTCCAATATTTACCTCCCTATCTCAGCCCACCTCCAATATTTCCATCCCTATCCCATCCCACCTCCAATATTTACCTCCCTATCCCAGCCCACCGCCAATATTTCCATCCCTATCCCAGCCCACCTCCAATATTTCCATCCCTATCCCAGCCAACCTCCAATATTTCCCTCCCCATCCCAGCCCACCTCCAATGTTTCCCTCTCTATCCTAGCCCCAATGTTTCCCTCCCTATCCCAGCCCACCTCCAATATTTCCATCCCTATCCTAGCCCACCTCCAATGTTTCCATCCCTATCCCAGCCCACCTCCAATATTTCCCTCTCTATCCCAGCCCACCTCCAATATTTACCTCTCTATCCCAGCCCACCTCCAATATTTACCTCCCTATCTCAGCCCACCTCCAATATTTACCTCTCTATCCCAGCCCACCTCCAATATTTACCTCTCTATCCCAGCCCACCTCCAATATTTACCTCCCTATCCCAGCCCACCTCCAATATTTCCATCCCTATCCTAGCCCACCTCCAATATTTCCCTCCCCTGCTTCCAATATCCCTCCCTGTTATTTCTGAAAAGGAAACCCTCCGTGAATAATCTTTATATGATACCGCCACGACTAAATAAACAAATAAAAGAACAAATGCAAATATATAAAATAAAACATTTATGTTTGGTAAATATAGATGAGAAAAGCTAAAAATATTGATTTAATGATGCTATTGAATTTATTATTATTTTTACAGGGTCAATTGCTAATATATGACAATATTCGCTAATGTATGACAGTATTCGCTAACGTATGACAATATTTGCTAATATAAGACAATATTCGCTAATATAAGTTAATATTTAATAATGTATGACAATATTCGCTAATGTCTAACAATATTTGCTAATGTATGACAATGCGAACATATGATTTGATGTCTTGAATAAAGCCCTATAAACGGATGATTTATGATTTAACCAAGATAGAAACATTTTTAATACAGTGATAAACCACGACTGCATAAAAAAGACTGAAAACATTTTGTACAGTCGTCTCTGAAGTCTCATTCTTTCGGGGTTACTCTGTATAATATGTTTTATTTCATCAAGATTGTCGTCTTTGAATTATAATCTTTATTTGTTTCTCTCTTTTATTTTAAGATGACATTTGATAATAAAAAATATATTTGAATCCTCTCAAGTGCCCCTTGGACTCGATCAGATTTCTTCCATGTTTTCTGTTTAATATTTTATATGTTATCTATACATATACAGTAGGGTACAGCACATGTTTTCTGTTTAATAATTTATATATTATCTATACGTATACAGTAGGGCACAGTTTTCTGTTTAAAAATTTATATTATCTATACGTATACAGTAGGGTACACCAAGTGTTTTTTTAATTTCTTAAAAATCCTGATTTCCATTTCTATACAGGTTTTTAAGGTCTTCGACTCAGTTCTTTTAAAAAATGTTCTTCAAATATTTTTATTCAAAAAACATTTCTTGGAGACAAAAACATTTTTTGTGTCTCTGTTCTGTAGAGGTTTATCACACTTTATATTAAACAAGGGTTGAAGCTTGGATTCATTTGACATCTTTTTGTTGAAGCAATATTTCAATTAAAATCTACATAACATAAAGGTCAGGAATTTTCGTTAGGATACACAGTCAAATCTTTTCTTAGTTTGTAAATTATTGGAAAAAGAATATCTGTAAATTATTTATCAACATATTACCAAAAATATTTAGCTTGCTCGTTAGTAAAATAATGAAAATTTATTAAAAATTCCTCCGCTTTAAACATGAGTGGTTTGTAAAGCATTGTTCTCCGGGTCTGTCCTAGTGAACGATTTTTGGACCCCCAGGGGGGTCCAAAAATCGTTCTCTAGGAAATTACCTGTTCTCCTCAGTGCCCATCTATTTTAATATGTAATTAATCATGAAATTGATTTAAATGCCAAGAGTAAAACCAATATATTGTCATGCATATCAATGAAGCCTTATAAAAAGCACAACCTGGAAGCTAGACACAATTACGAATATGGCTTCTTTTAACAAGGTTAGTTTGAAATATCAACAAAAGATGT